GCGCGCGCGCTTGTGGCAATTAATGTAAAAAGCCATAGATTTTATTTTAATTGGTACAATATTTTGCCTTTTGGATTTTCAGATTCAGATTAAACTTATGTGAAATAGCCTCATCACGTGTTCGTTATGGTGAAGCGTTTTTCTTTTTTCCTTTCACGTGGTTGTTTCCACAGAGACTCATGGGGTGTAAAATAGGCTGATTGTACCAACATTCAATAAGGCTTTGTTGACATACTGTAAATGTACATATTCATATTTCAGTTTTTCCTAATGTATTGGTGTCACACTAAATTGTTCCTCAAGCACTATCAATTGAATTTGTTTTACGAAAACTAGGGTGTCATGGGCTATTTTATTCATCAGCATTTGCATCTGTTATCACTGTTCTCAAATATAGACGTGTACACTGTGTATTTGAGAAACTAGCGAAATCTATGCAACCCATCAAACTGCTCAAACCCCACAAAATAATGAACGTACAGAATGGCAGCTTATGGAAGTGTACATATAACCTGAATCTTATTTGAGAGAATATTTCCTGCCTGTAGATGCCATGAAAAGTATTTTACACCTTGTCACATACGCATCCTGACCATAAAATCAGTTATTTTCATGTAGAGACGATCTGAAGCGTGCAGGTCAAACGAGCGGGTTTGAAGCACACTGATGCAACCATTGTTGCTCTTCTCAAGTACACACACAAACGTGTTTTATTTCCCACAGTGCCTGACTTTCAATGCACCTGTGAGTCACTCACTAGTACTTCATCTTGAGCTGTTTGTTCCCCGTTTAAGGGTGATTCATTTGAATATGTTAGACATTTTATTTGATTTTCTAACCACCTTTCCGTTAGATACACGACATTCAGTACACTACTTGTTTTGCATCCTGTATTGTATCTGTTCCTTCATTAAATGTACATTTGATTATTTGAAAACTAGCGTTCTAAAACTAATATTCCACAATTAAACTATAGATTTTATTTTTATGCTGCTTTGTGTCAGTTTGTGTAAGTGGAATAACCGGATGTCATATGTATGAATGTCTGTACGTTCCAAGATGTTGCACATAGATTTCTAGCAATCACAAGCATATACTCCTTATTTTGTGCAATGATTTATTTTTATAGGTTTTTTTTTTTTTTTTTTTTTTGGATGTGTCGAAAGGTATTTTCTCTGTGAGATGGGGGTTATACTTCATTTTTGAACAGAGTTAATGGGGATGTCATACTGGTGAGAACAAATTCTACTAATTGAAATTTGTTGATTCTTTTGGAATAATAATAAAAAAATACATTGATAAAACCTCTTCGTTTCATTCCTTTAAAAGCAAGAAATCTGCACTACTGGGTGGGCATTAATAGTCTTGTGAAGAAGTCTTTGTGGTTTATAATATTTTAGATTTTGGTATTGGTATTGATTAGCAATTAAATATATTTTTTTTATTTCGATAGCGATACTGAATGCATGTTATACATGTATTGCACTCATAGAAATGTGGTTTTGTACACACTAAGTGGAACTGTTGATGTACCAGATTGAAAGCTCGTTTCCCCT